TAAAGATAAAGAATTTATCCGATGTTTCTATTCGTACAATCAGTAGAGATCGTTAGATTATTGTTTAAGGTTGACGGACACGCATGTCTTAATTAGTTTTTTTATTTTTTTTTTATTTTTTACGAATTGGTCAAACCCAAACTCAAACAAAAACATTGTTTTCAATCGTTATGAGTCTACTGATTGAATAGAATTTTATTATAAATAATTGTCTTGTAAATGGAATTTTTAAAGCATTCTGAATGTAAAAATAAAGAAAAAAGTGTGCAAGAGAATAAGAAACACTACCTGCCAAAAAAAAGTGAAGTTTTGTTTTATCGGCTGAAAAATATAGGAAATCCAATGTGAGTTGTCCCCCTTCCATTTTCAAGATGTCTCTTAATCGTGTTTTCAAATTGATTTTGTGCAAAAACAATTATATTTTTCCCATTTTTGGCGCTGTTAGAACCACCACAAGGTAATTTTATGTAGTCCTGTGAAGCTTTGTTGAAATCGGTTGAAAATTGTAGGAAATCCGATCCAATATATAAACGTTACAGACACACACACACACACACACAATCTGCGTTTTATAAGTAAGATATATACAATATATATAAAATATATAAAAAAATATGAAAATACATAAATATATAAAACAAATATATAAATAATATACATATATATTTATAATATGATATATATATATAACATATATGTATATAATAACAACATTAATAATAATAACAATAATAATAATAATAAATTAGGATATGATTTTTTTATTATTAACTCGAGAAAATCAAGGTAAAATGTTACTTTGAGTTGTAACATATATATATATATGTGTGTGTATGGATAGATAGATAGATAGATAGATAGATAGATAGATATAGATGAAATTTAAGAATATAATAGTTCATAAGTGAAGGGTCTATATATAAAGGATTGGCAAAATTTTTGAACGTGCGCGTGTAAAAAACGTAAAAATTTATGAACGTGCGCATGTACAAAAATAAATAAAAAAAACGCTAAAAATTGGAAATAAACTTATTCAAACCACAGACCCCC